AAACTGTCCCAGGAGCTGTTATTGAATAACTCTTCAAGTAAAGTTTTACCTAACAGACTAGGTGTCTTCTTCCTAAACTTTCAGCAAGACTTTAAAATCGGTGTCTGCACATGATCTAATTTGAAGCTGTAACTTGCAGTTACATGACCATAGAGTTCTCTTCTTTGTTTCTACCATGAGTATCCTGGCTTTAGCTGGGACAGAGTTAATTTTCTTCCTAGCAGCTGGTATCATGTGGTGTTTTAGTTGCTGACTGGGGTTAAACCATGACAAGGTGTTTCTAGCAGTTGTTCAGTCTTCCATGACAGTCATTTTGCCCAACTTCTGTAGCAGAGCCTTAGCTATGTGCTCATGTGGAACACTGACATTCTCCATGCCTGCCTTCTCCTAACACTTACACTTGCATTTGACATTGCATAGTCTGCTTCATTTTATGCAAAGAAACACTTCTTTACAAGGGCTACTAGGGCTTATTTGTTACAACTTGGTTTCATTTTTTGAAGGTCTATCCTCTGTAAAATTCTGATCTATTTTATTGGGACCAAGAGTGATCAAGACAGATCACGTGTTTGTCTACTCACCATTTGAACATTTTGGTTGGAAAAAAACCTGATAGATTTTCCTCTCAGCTGATCTGAGCACTCCTTGCCACCATCTGAGGCTGGCATAAACACTGTAAATTCCACAAGTGACAGAAAATTTAGAGAACTGAGACTTGAAGGAATAATATCAAGTCAGTTCCTCATGCAGGAATTCTTAAATATGGTATACAAATACAGTAGTCACACAAGTAGTTCAAATTAACTGTTCTGTGAAGATTAAACTCTTCTTTCTGAGAAAATGGCCAATTTAAATTAAGATAATTTTGCTTGCTAAAAAAGCAACTATTTCAGAATTACTAAAAACCACTGAAAGAAACCAATTCCAGGAGGTTGAGGAATTTTCAGTTGAGGGATATTTTTAGCTAAATAGTGTTACTCATTCTCTACTAGAACTTATTTTTCAATTAAATTATTAGCATATAAAAATCAGATTGATACCAGAATTAGTTAACTGCAAGTGAGTAATTCTTACCAAAAAAATAGATTCTACTATTTGGAAATCATGGTGCGGAGAGGACTTGTTGAGGGGAGGGACATCCCTGGCTAATCATGTCTCTTTTCTAATTCTGTAGCTCTTTTGAAAGATGAGAAAAATAATTAACAATATCAATCCTCAGCACCAAACAATGACCATTTATATTGCCCATGTTGTTTATGTATAGTACAAACTACTAAGTTAGTTGAAAGCATAAACTAATTCTCATTTTCTATTAGCTTACAGTCAGCTGGTATCTCCCAAAGTTAACGCTTTTAGTAGCAACCAAAAATGCACTATCGTAGTTCTATAATTGTAAAATACTTATTGTCCTTTCCAGAAACATCCTAATGCAGTTTCATTATTGCCTTGAAACTCATATGAGATGACAGATTATTCCCCTTTAACTGTGCACAAATTGTTATCAGAGAAATGTCGCAATGTCCATGATTTGAACCACCAGCAACCACACAGGAAAAGATACTCTTTTCAGCCAAACCTTCATTCATTCATTCATTCATTCATTCATTCATTCATTCATTCATTCATTTGTGTTCAGCGGAAAGAGGAAATACACAGTTGCCAACGCACACAGCTTTTGAACTATCAATGCATATCGTTGAGCAGGTTCTTTAAGCCCAATTGTGTTACGCCACATTTTTAGCATCTACCACAAGAGCCATGGGCAAATATTGGAAAACAACATGATTTAATTTGCCATCACCATAAATGAGCTATATGAATGACTGTGACTAACACTGTAATGTACTTTTGTTGATTGTACAACAGCTGCCTTTGTGTTTTTTGAAGTATGAAATATTTTACACTTCATAGGAACCAAAAAGTTGAAAGTATTTTGTTGTTTAGAGGCTATGCTTTTATGATTGTCCCATTTGCATACCATCTTATAGCTGACAGTCCCTTACAAATAATTGAAAAACTTAAGCATAAATTAGATCAAGTCTTGAAGCAATTATAGCTTTCTTTACTGATCCATGCAAAATCAATTCTCTTGTACATGTAGGATTTTTCCTGACTTGTTGACAGAACACCACCATTGTAATGTGTCCTGGGTTGCGTGAGTGGTGGAGTTTTTGGTGGCAGGGGAGGGGGCTATCGGGGCGGCCCCCTGTGAGAAGCTTCTCGAAGCTCCCCCAGCTCCACGTCAGCTCCACTTCTGTTTGGGAAATTGAGCCGATCGGCTGCACTTCTGCGATAACGTATTTAAGAAGGGATGCAGTGAGGAGGAGTCGGACTTGTGAGGAGGAGTTGCTGCAGCTGCATGAACACCAAGGTCAGTGGAGGAACGGAGGAAGAAAGGAGGGGGGAGGTGTGCCGGAGCAGAGACCCCCCTGTATCCTGTGGTGAGACGGCAGGGCGGCCCCCCTTGCCACCCATGAAGATCTACGGTGGAGCAGACATTGATTTATGGCCTGTTGCTCCTGCTCAGATGATCAAGGTTCTGTGCCCGAAGAAGGCCGGGGTCTCATGGGAAAAGGTAGCCCCGCTGCTGTAATTCAGCGCTGGGAGGATTGCAGCATGTGGGGGAGTCCCACGCCGGAGCAGCTCAGGAAGGGCTGCAGCCGTGGGAGAGAATCCAGTCGGAGGAAGTTAGTGACCCATGATGGAGCAGTGTGGGGAACGCTGCAGCCCATGGGAGGAACTCATGTTGGAGAAAGTTTGTGGAGGACTGTCTCCTGTGAGAGGGGGACCACGATGGAGCAGGAGGAACAAGTTCCGGACACTCCCCTCACCGAAGATGAAGGAAGTGTCAGCGCTGACTGCACCCCCCATTCCCTGCCCCTGCGCCACTGGGGGAGGAGGGAGAGATATCGGGAGCAGAGCTGAGCCCGGGAAGAAGGGAGGGGTGGGGGAAGGTGTTCTCAAGATGTGGCAATGCTTCTCACTGTCCTACTCTGTTATGTGTTGTTAGTGTCTGTAATAAATGTATGTTTTTTTTCCTTCCCCTAACGAGTCTGCCTTTTGCTCGTGATCATAAAGGGGGATTTTTCCCCATCCCAGTCCTATCTTGAACCCCAAGCCTGGCTCTCTGTCCCTTCTCATTGCCGGAGGGGAAGGGAGAGAGAGCTGCTGCCTTGTGGTTGGCTGCCAACCAGGCCTAAACCACGACATAATGACTGCCAGTGTCAGGATCAGAATAATGATATATGTAGAGCCTTTATAATACATAAAAGAGTTAACTTTCTGAGTTAGCCTTCAAGAAACCCTGGATAGTGTGCCCGACAGTTAGTCTGTGATTATTATGTGGTAAAAAAAATCACATTTGAATATCAAGAAGTTAAAAGTCCAGTTTTACTTTCATAGCAATTTCTTTTTGTCTGACCTGCCTCAAATATATATATTTTTTTTTGCATTTAAATTAAAATTTAAATAATTTATTTAGAAAGCATGTAAAGAAAATCAGGATTGGTTTTTAAAGTGTTGCATCGATAGTGTTGCATCTTTTGAACCACCAACCATGGCTCTGAACCAAAGGTTCTCCAGTGCTTCAAACAGCTCTTCCCATTCATTTGCATAATTGGGACAGGGTTTTTCAACTGCAGTGTATTTCTGATGAAGTACTTGAAAAGTCTTTCAAACAGTTCAAAATGGCTGAACACTTCCAGGAAGCCCTTTTAATGTATCCACCTGTGTAAGGCGGATTTTGTGACCGTGGTTCAAAGCCATACCCTCCTGACAGCCCTTGTTGAACCTTTGTTGAAGACATCTGAGAAGCCGTACACTTGGCAAGCTATTTATCATGCTGTCATGGTTTTGACTGGGATAGAGTTAATTTTCTTCCTAGTAGCTGGTACACTGCTGTGCTTTGGGTTTAATGCAAGAATAATGCTGATAACACTCAGAGGTTTTAACTGTTGCTGCATAGCACTTCCACTAGGTTCAATTTCCTGTGCTCTGCCAGCAAGAAGGTGCACAAGAAACCAACCTGAACTAGTCCAAGGGATATTCTATACCACAGAATGTCATGCTTGGTATATAAACTAGGAGGTGGATTGCTGCTCAGACATCCATCATTGGATGGCGAGCAACTGCATTGTGCATCACTTGTTTCTTCTTGGGTTCTATTTATCTGTTATATTCCCTTTAATTGCAATTAATTATATTATTGTTGTTATTATATTTTATTTTAGATATTAAACTGTTCTTACCTCAACACGAGTTTTACTTGTTTTGATTCTCCCCTCATCCCACTGGGAGCTGGGAGGAGTGAGGGAGCGGCTGCCTGGTGCTTAGTTGATGGCTGGGCTTAAACCACAACACAAGCCCAGAGGAGCACGGTTCAAGAGAATAAATCTGTGTTTTAACAAATAAGCCTCAAATTTGAAGGCTTCGCATGTACATTTCACTTTCCAGACGCGGGGGGTTGTCCCGGCTCCCTCTGAGGGGGGCAGGGAGGGAAGAAAGGCGGGGCGGCGCACCGGCCCCCTTTGCGTACTGTCCGCACGGTACCGAGTAGCCCCAAGATACGGTTGACGAGTCGCGGGGGTTAGCCTGACCGAGCCGGCGCCTCGCAGCTGCCCGGCCGGGCGCCGCGGCCCGAGGCGAGCCACCCCACCCCCGCCACGGCCGTTGGCAACGCCAGCACGCCCCGTCCGGCTGCCGCGGCGGGCCCGGCGCAGGCGGGAAGCCCCGGGCCTCCCCCCGCCACGGCTCCCGGCTGGCGCTGTCAAGCGCCGGCGGCGGGGCAGAACCCCGCCATCAGCCCCGGCGGACCAAGAAGAGCGACGAGCACCCATCGCTCCGCACACCCACCGACCCCTGGCTCGCCGCCTGCCCCGCCCCGGGCACGAACGCTCCCCGTCCCGGGCCCGTCCCGCCCTCTAACCTCACTTCCGGGGCGGCCATTTTGGGAGGTCGGCTCTCCGTGGCTGGCGGGTGGCGGAGGGGGCGGGCTGGGGCCCGGGCCGCAGTGGCTGGTGACAGCGGCGGGGGGGGGGGGCGGGGAGCAGCCCGCGAGCCGGCGAGTGTCGGGGGCGCCGCAGGGGAAGAGCCGCCACCCCGGGGATCGCAGCGCCCGCCTGCCCCCGCCATGTCGGACTTCGACAGCAACCCCTTCGCCGACCCGGACCTCAACAACCCCTTCAAGGTGAGGCTAGGGGCGGGGAGGGGGCGCGGCGGGCCTCCGTGAACCTTCCTCGGTGTCGCGGCGCGGGGGGAGCGTGCTGCGCCGGGCTGCGGGCATCCCGGGGGAGGGAGGGAGGGAGGGACGGACGGAGGGCCGGGCCGGGCCGGGCCGGGCCGGGCCCTTCTCACGCTGCCTGCCGGCGGGGGGCCGCTCCCTGCCACGGGAGGTGGGGAACGGGGCAGCGCTGGCCCCGGGGGGGCCTGGCGGGCCGGGGAGGAGGGGCCTGCCCTCCGCGGGGCTAGGGGCATGACGGCTCTGGGGGGCTCGTCGGATAGGCAGCGTTTTGGGAAGCCTTAGAAACGGGCACGGCCGTTTCACAAGTTCAGGTTTCCGTGTTTTCTTCGGTTGCTGAAACAATACAAACGGCGTTTTAGGTGTGTTGTTTTGAAGAGAAAAAAACAACAGCAAAAAAGATTTTTTTGATTTTGGCGGTAACTCTGTGTATAATACTACTACTTTATTTTTTTTATTACTTTTGATTGACCTAGATAGTTAAGGTTCGTGAATTTAACCCTTTTCCTCTGTAGCCTCCTCCCAGCCCCCATCAAGCTTACTTGCTTCTTTACGTTATTTCTCAAACATGCAGAATACTGATAGCTAGGCATGAGTTCTACCCTGCATCTCAAAATGCTGTGTTTTAATGTATTCTAAAGCTTTTAGGTTTTGCACTGTTGACTTGTCATACAGCTGAGAATTGTTTCCTCACCCGCTGTTGTGGCTTCAGCTAACAAAATGAGCTGACCTCCTTGGATGCTTTCCCTCCTTATCTTTTGTTTCTTTGTTATTTGAATCCAGTTTAACTAATTTATTGAGCTACTTACTTTAATAATCTTACCAAACTTCTTTTTGCAGCATTTTATTTCATATTGGCACTTTAAAGCACACGCATAGTATATGGCAGTAAGTTTAGGATGTTAGCTGGAATAATTAAGCCTTTTAAAAATTGAGCTGTCACATTTCAAGCATAATTCTCTGCAGGTAGCTGCTGGAAGCATAGTATTACTGATATTTATTCACTGGAGTCTGTCTGAATCATTAGTTTAGTTTTTATGGTCGTCAAATTTAGTCAATGGTATTCCTTACACTAGACACTGTGTTTCTGTACTGAGTGCAGTGACCTTCCAGAGGAACAGTCCTGGCATTGAGGTTGCTGCTAACAATAGTTTGGGCTGGCACCAATGGCAGTGAACACTGTTCTTTTAAATACTTTTGGCACCAAGCACTGAAAAGGTATCATTGTTCTAGAATGTGTCTTCAGCAACAAAAATACATGGTGCTTTTCCTTACTTTTTGTAATAGTTATGAAAATAACATCTAGTAAAACTTACTCTGTATAGATGCCCAGAGTGGTTAGGGGTGTTGGAAGCTGTATAGTTGCCCCTGCATTGCTCATCAGCCCAGGTAACTTGTTCTGTGTAGTGTGTCTGAGACCTAAGCTAGGGACCTACCTCAACCATACTTAACAATTTGTTGACACTGCTGAAAGTGTGATAGTTTATTCCAGTTTCTCTTCAGGGCAAGACTTGAATTGTAGCTGTCGGGCAGAATCCATGCTCTACTTCTCAGTTGCGATGCATCATGATAAAAAGACTATAACAACTTCACTGTAACTTGAAGCTCACGGTTAAACGTAGTTCTGGATTTCTTTTATTTGAAGAAGTTAGTTTAGGAAAGCTGTATGCTTTCCCTTTTTTCAGAGGCTTTTTTCACTTCCTTCAGCTTTTACTAACTTCTATCACATTCCACTGCCCAGAAAAGGTGATCTTGCATACCTTTACTCATCCACACATCTAACTCGAAGGGGCAGAAGACCTCATATGTAAGCCAAACCTTGATTGCCGTCTTGTAGACATAACAGCTTTGAAATTAGTGGGTACTAATGCATGTCTACATTTAAGTTTTGTCTGACTATAAGTTTTAAAATTCTTTACACGTAGAACCAATATTTCCAGATGGACCCTGACATCCGAAGTCATGTTGTCTGAACACCTGATTCAAATGTACTCATATTTTTATTCGTCTTTGCCTGGTAATTTTATGAATGATGTGATTAGTTGGTTGCTTTACTTTTGAAGCCACTTCCTGTGCTAATGTAAAATCACAAAGTAGAATGATGGAGAGGGGCGCATCATTTGGAAGAACTGTTGCCATGGTCTAAAGCTAGATCCTTATTTTTCTTAAACGTTTTGGTTTTACTAATTGTCTGTGATCTGCTTGTGAGGTTTCCTGTGACTATTCTCATGTCCTTTAATGAAAAGATTTCAGCAGAGATTTTTGCTTGATTTTGAATCAAATAAATGTGTTCTCTGGGAAGATAAAGCAGAAACATTTAGTTTGATCAGTATTTTGGGTAGTTACTTAATTTGGAAACCTAAAATTAAATTAAATTTCTGTTTTGGGATATACTGGAAGTAATGAAATTTAGTTTGTAAACCAGAATGTCTTGTTTCAAGTATTAACTTACTTGGATTGATCATAAAATGTTGATTTTTAAGACAGTGGCTATTTAGCCTCTGCTTTTTCTTTTTTAATTCTTTTAAAAAACCAACAAACTTGAACTGAACCTAAAGGCTGATGTGCTTTTGAAGTCACAGTATTCCTCTGTAAATAGCTATCCTCTGGATGCTGTACCAACAAAACCAGGAGATGTTTTGGTTTGAAAGACAGGAGGTAATGAAACAAACAGATAAGTAACATGATAACTTTAATGTAATCCAACGCTTTTTAAAGTTGTGCAGAAGCAAATTCATTCATGTACCTTAGAAATGAAGATGTGATAATCCTGCTATAATTTGATGTAGCAGGACAAGTCTGTAGAGGGGAGACAGATCTGAGCCCAAGTTAGAAAGTCAAGTCAGGATCAGGTCCAGTGAAAGTAACTAGGGTCAGCCAACAATCCCATGATGACCAGGCAAGTCCTTAGTGATGAGGTGGGTCTGACCACCTAGGAGAGGTTTGGGCACCTTCAAGGCCCTGATGATTTGTTCTTGACTTGACTAAAAAAGCATGAAATAAGATTTTGTATGACAAAACAAAGGCAAAATTTGTATATAGCTTTCTCCTTGTTGTGCTTTTTTTTTGTTTCCTTGTTTGTTTTTTCCCCTTGAATGTCATAGGATAGGGGATAGTTGTAGTCTTCTGTCTTTGGAAGTGATATGGATATAAAAGTCCTGAAACAACAGTCTTGAAATCCACTGCTAGTTTCATTTACTCTGGAACAATTCAGCAATTCATCTACAATAAAAATGTGTTGGTTCTGTGTTAGTTTTTTTGTTCTGTTTTGTTTGTTTTGTTGTGTGTGTTGTGTGTTGTGTGTGTGTTGTGTGTTGTGTGTGTGTTGTGTGTTGTGTGTGTGTTGTGTGTTGTGTGTGTGTGGTGTGTGTGTGGTGTGTGTGTGGTGTGTGTGTGGTGTGTGTGTGGTGTGTGTGTGGTGTGTGTGTGGTGTGTGTGTGGTGTGTGTGTGGTGTGTGTGTGGTGTGTGTGTGGTGTGTGTGGTGTGTGTGTGTGGTGTGTGTGTGTGGTGTGTGTGTGTGGTGTGTGTGTGTGGTGTGTGTGTGTGGTGTGTGTGTGTGGTGTGTGTGTGTGGTGTGTGTGTGTGTGTTGTGTTTGGTTTTATAAATTAATGATACTGTTACTAAGAGAAGAGACTCTTCTTTTTTTAAGTAGAGCTATGAACTTCACAGGCCTCTGTGGCTTGGCTGACAGGTTGTGAAAGGTTTGAGGGCCGGCTGTTGCAGTCGTCCAAACATATGAAGCGGTTACTTACAAGTGGCTGTGGAATTGGCACTTTAAAAAACAAGTTCTATGTTGAATTCTGTTGGGCTGGTTCATTGATGTATTCAGAGCTTTGAGCAGGTGCAGGTATTTGATACTATAGAAATTATGATTGGAATGAAAACTAGGATATATTTCTGTTTAAATGTGGTGACCTGCAGGTAAAAGCCAAACCACTACTGATATGGATGAAAATTTAAACAGAATAGCCTATGTCTTGTTCAGTTTTAGTGAGGAAGGACACAGTCATGGAAACCCTCAAATGTATGTAATGTTAATGATGTGAGTAGTTTCTTTGGGTGGAATTAGGTATTCAAACTGTGGTTAGCTTTGAGTTGTTGCTCCAGAAAGACAGGGATCTTCTGCAGTTCTGTCATGACTGCTATTCTTGTGTGGATGTCTGAGATGCTCTAAGACATCTAAAAATGGTCCTAGGCACCTGAATTGCTCCCACTGAGGTCATGGGATTACTTGAGTCACTAGAGCTAAGTATATGTAGTTAGTTCCAGTTATAAATTGGATATTCCACTTAATCTGACTCACATGAGCACAAATTCATCTTCTATCTGGTTTGGCAGGAAGTACAAGCTGGAGGTTTGATGCTGAAGCTAATAGTGCAGATGACTGCTGCCTTGTGTGGCAGCAGAATCAATACAGTTTACACCTTGATTGCTGAAGTGAAGCTGAGGTGATAGAAGCTTACAGGAAGAAGGAGGTCTTAATTATTTTTGAAGAATCAGGACGCTAATTACTTCAAGTGTTTCTACAGTGTTTGTGCTTTAGAATTCTAAATTTTTGTTGTGTGCCTATATGCATAACTGAGTTTTAATTCTTTTCTGTGACTGTAAAATATACCCAATTAAGTTGTCTGTCTTTAAATTAGGAGAAGAACATAAAATACAAATAGTTTTCTGACTTTATTACCTGTTTTCCCTTCATGACTTCGAAATCTATACATTTTCCTATGTCTTGCATAATTTAATGCTGAACATCATGGTATTGGAAGTGTCCTTTAGCTATCCTGCATGATAGTTAGCTTTCAAGAGTATGCTTCATCAGAGCTGTAACTGTACCATAATCTATTAAAACTCTGAAGTGTTTTAATAGGTATTCAGTATCAGTTATACGTGCAATTTTTCTCCAGATTATCAGTAAAGTGTTAGCACATATTGCATTAGTATTATTGT